AAAAAACCCAAGTGTTGGTGAGAACCTGCAGAAACTGGAGCCCTTGTGTGTTGCTAATGGGGACATAAAATGGTGTAAACACTGCAGAAGACAGTTTGGGTTTTGGTTCCTCAAAAAGTCCAACATAAAATTACCAGGAGTTGGCCATGCCTAAGCTCCCCGAAAGAATTGGAAGCAGGGGTTCTGGTATTTGTACACCAGGGTTCATAGTACTATCCACCATAGCCAGATATACCAACAAGTACATGGATAAACTAAATGCGGTATAGGCACACAAGGAAATATTACTCAGCCATAATAAGATCAGAGTTCTAACACGTTACAATACGGACGCACCTGTCTATAGTTGCACAGTTTGTAATAGGTAAATCTCAGAAACAGTCAAAATGCTCACCACTGATGAATGGATAAAGATGTGGGTTTTTTTAATATAATGGAGTACTACTCTGCCATAAAGAAGGATATGCTTGAGAGATTTCTAGGTAAATGGATGCACCTTGAGACCACACTCTTAAGTAAAATAAACCAGACACAGATGTATAAACACCGTGTCGTTCTCTGGTGTGAGAAACCGAAAGGGTAAATAAGGATAAAAATGTGTAATAGATATTGTGAAATAGGAAGAAAAAGTTCAAATGAGAAAGGGAACAGGGAGTGGGGAGGGGGGAAAGGAGGGACAAGAAAAAATAGAAGGAAAAAATGGAAACAAACCTTTTACAAATAAGGAGGCAAAGAGAGGTTGAAGGGAGGGAGGAGAACAGGGAAAAAAGAAGCAAGCTGTATCCTGTACAGGAACAAGAGCCTTAGGACGGATGTTATTACCATGTATATATAAAACGTACCAACAGGAAAACCCCACGGCACGGCTGCACCTTGAACACAGCCTGCCAACGAGGTGTGGCTCAGTGATAGCGCATGAGAGAGGGAGAGGGGGAGAGAAGGAAAGAAAGAGAAGCAGCAGGTAAAACAGCGTGAATACGCCCAACGCCCACGGGCTACACACATAAAGACGGTGTAAATATCAATTTGACGGGATGCCTATTTTCCCACTCAAAGTAAATAAGCAAAACCCCCACCACTCCTGCTTGCAGCTTTATTCTCTCCACTCTACAGGGAGGAAAGTGAAGCTCCAGAAGGGTAAACAACCTGGCTGAGGTCGCAGCAGGCACAGGACAAAGTGTTTCCAAGAAAGCCGGGCCCCCAGCCACACCAGGACCCAGCGAGGGGCAGAGCAAAGGGCGGGGGGCTGAGGTTCAGCTCCCCCCATGCACCCCCAGTGCAGACCCCAGCCTGGCCACACCCGCACCTGCAGGCCTGCTGGCTTCTGCCTCCCACCAGCCCCGCCACTAGCAGTGGGTGCGGCGTCCCTTCCCCCAGCGCATCTGACACCGCTCTGCCCTGACCCTCACGGTGATCCCCAAGTACCCTGCACGTCCCACACACGTGTGGGCCAGGGCCCCGTTCTCATTTCTCAGCCCCCTGGCCTGCAGCACCTGCCCGGCCCCGCCAGCTCAGGCACGACCTCCGCCCTAAGCTAGCCCAGCCTCTGTTTCCCCAGCTGTCTACAGCCTGAGCACCTCCTGGGCGGCTCACTTTCCAAAGCTGCTCCTCCTGTCTCTCCCGCGGGGCTTCGGAGTCACTAAGAACAGGCACCGAGCCCTCAGCCCCGGCCTCTCAGGGGCTGGCACTTCCTAAGAGCGCAATGACTAGCTGGGTGTGGGACACACCTGAAATGCCAGCACTCTGGGAGGCTGAGGCAGGAAGAATGCAAGTGTGAGCCCAGCTGGGAAACTTAGTGGACTCAGCGAGATTGCCTCAAAATAAAAACTAAGCAAAGGCTGGGGATGCAGCTCAGTGTGAAGCCCCCGGGTTCACTCCCTAGTACCACACACACACACACACACACACACACACACACACACACACACAATGTACTGACTGCCTGGCGCACCAAGCTGGGACACAGGAGAGGATAGCAGAGAACAAATGGGAACACAACCAGGAGTGGTGGTGCACTCCTGTAATCCCAGCACTCAGGAGGCTGAGGCAGGAGGATCGCCGTGAGTTCGAGGACAGCCTAAAATGCATATCCAAACTCTGTCTCAATAAGAGCCAAAAAAGTGGGGGGAGCTGAAAGACTCAGGGATTCACGAGCCACCTCCAGGAAGACAAAGGAAGCGGGCAGAATGCTGTGGGTGCAGAAGACGGACTATGCCGGCCATGGCCTCCAGAGCAGGAGGGAGTTGACGCGAAGAGCTGGGAGCGGGGCCGAGCGGAGCTGCAAGGAGCGGGAGGCAGAAGGGACAGAAGTGCTGGGCCCAACCCCACCCCCTGCTCCCTGCACCGCAGGCCAGTGGCCGCCTGCCTGCGAGAAGTCGGAGCGACAGCACGGCAGTGACAGGGCAGAAATGAAGGCAGCTGTGAGCAGCGAGCTAGCACCCCTGGGAGCCGCCGAGGGCCCAGAGGTGCCAGGGGCGGGCACAGTCGGCAAGCGTGGGCGGCACGGAGCAGAAATAACAGGTGCTAATCCTCGGTGCACTCCGCATGTCATCTGCATGTCTGCCTGGCCCGCTGGGTGGGCTCTGCGCCCGGCGCGCCCTGGCCTGGGCAGGGTGCAGGTCTAATCACCGCTCTCCGGGGCTAACGCCAGGTCCCCTGCTCCCAGGCCGAGAACCCTCCTCTTGGCAGCCGGCTCTGCCTGCCTGTCCTAGAACCGTGTGTGTCCGCAGGCCGGGCCCACCCTGTCACAGCCGCTGGGGAGGGGAAGTGGGGAGCTGAGACAGGGCTCCCGGGAACGCCAGCAGCTGGCTGGGGGCTCCGGATGGGGCTGGGGGCGTTGAAGGGGTACCACAGGTCCCCAAGGGGAGTGGAGAGGACAGGAGACCACCAGCATGGGATGAGTCTGTGGCTGGGCAGAACGTTCCCCACCTTCTCCGGGGCCCCACCCCACATGCGGGTGAGCTCAGAGCTATCTATACCTCCCCGCTGGCCGAGCCAGCCCTGCCCAACGGCCGCGGGTCAGCCTGCCCCACGGAGCAGGCCTGGCTCAGCGGGGACGGTAACGGGAGATGAGGACAGGCCAGCTTCTGGCTCCCTGCAGGAACCTCTGCTCACGAAGGCCAGGTGAGTCATCAGACACAGTGTCCGGCCTCCAGTCCCCTGCCCAGGGCCTGACCCACCTGAACCGGGGCCAGCACAGAGGCCATCTGGGGTGAGGGTGCAGCCACTGCCACACTGGGGGACAGACGCCTGGCAAGAGCCCTCAGAGCCCCACACTCCCCGGGCCAGGGACAAGGCAGACTTGATTCCAGTCGGCTCAAGAGTGTCGAGGAGTATCATGGTTCGGATCTGGAATGTCCCCTCCAGCTCACGTGCTAAAGGCGTGGTCCCCAAGGCGGCAGTGCTCAGAGCGGGGCCTCTGCATGGTGCCTGGATGGGGAGGCCACGGCCGTGTCAACAGGGGACTCGCTGATGGATTCTGCACTGAACAGGCTCACAGGAGACGGTGGCTCTCAGGAGGGGCCTCACTGCAGGACGCAGGTCCTTGGGGGCTGTGCGCTGCCCCCGGACCCCTCCTCCTCCTCCACTGCTCTGCATCCCAGCAGCCACTGCTCCTTCTCACACTCGCTGCCTCACTACAGGCCCAGAAACCACGGAATCGAGGGATCGTGGACTAAAATCTCTGAAACCGTGGACCAAAATAAACCCCGTCCTCCTTGAAGCTGCTTTTCTCGAGCAGTCTGTCAGGGACAGAAATCTGACATAAGGTGTCCCCCAAAGATTATATCCACCCAGAACCTCAGCATCGGATGCTATCTGTCTTGTTCTGTGGCTCTGGGACTTGAACCCAGAGCCTTGCTCCTGGCAAGGCAAGACTACCACCGACCTATCCCCCAGCCGACTTCTGACACGCTCGGAAGGCTTTGGAGAGGTGTTAGTGAGGTCTACGGGGTTCAGATGGGCACTCAATCCAACAGCTGGTGTTCTCAGGAGAAGCGGACACGCTGGGAAGGCAGCTGGGTGACAGCAGTGCCAAGCACTGGTGAGACTCGGCCACAGCTAAAGAACACCACAGGTCACCAACACGCACCAGAGGCTAGGAGACAGGCGCGGGACAGCACCCTCAGCCCCCAAGACCAACCCTGCCACCCTGACCTCCAGCCCTGGCCTTTGGGACAGGCGTCTGCATGAGAGGAGGGCGCCAGCGTTCGGGGAAGAGGACAGCGTGAATGACCACCCCAGAGGCGGGCAGCTGCCCTGGAGCCGTGGTGTCGGGGCCCAGGCAGGGCCCACTGTCGTCACTGATGTCAGCCAGGTACAGAGGTGCTATCGGGCCTCAGGTCCGGGCCTGAAGCCCCCATCAAACTGGAGGTCCCGGGGGCCTTCGAGACAGGAACAAAGCCTGACCTGGGCCCTGCAGCAGCTGCTGCTCCTGACTTTGGTTTTTCTCCTCACTGGGCCTGTGTGACTGCCGTCCTTCTCATACCACGGCTGGACGCGGGAACGGCCCACCTTGGGACACAGTTCCTGAGGTGTCCGCTTGCCCGGCCCACATAACAAGCAGGGACTGGACAGATCTGCTCCCAGAAGCTCAGCCTGCTCTGATGAGCAAGCGAGCAGGGAGTGAGTGAGTGACTTTCCTTCTTGCAATCCTGGCGATGGGACCCAGAGTCCGGAGCATGCTGGGCAAGCGCTCTAGCGCTGGGCTCCACCCTGTCCGAGGCCGTTGCCCACACCTTTCACACGCACAGCTTTACATTTTCCACTATTGCAGCATCTCCTCCACGGGGCCCCACCCTCCCCACCCACTCACGTGGTTCTCCTGAGCCGCCCTCATGCCTTGGGGACTCAGGGCAGAAGGAAGCAGCGCCCACCTGGCAGAAGCCCCGAGAGGCGGCTGGAGAGGACCACAAACTTGTGTCCACGCTGCCTGCTTCCATGTCTTCCAGGCCTGGACCACAAACCTGGTGGCCTGCTGCCCAGCCCTGCCGCCCCCTTACCGTACATCTTGCCCTCGTCCGACAAGATGATCTTGCGCCGGCCGCAAGGTGGGTAGATGGCCAGGGCCTCCTGGAAGCTCTGCTCGATGTCCGGGCTCCACACACCCTCTGCATCATTGTCGATGGGCTTGTCCAGCGCCTGGCTGCCCCCGGACACGCTGCTCCCCGCAGGGGAGTTGGGAGAGCTCCACTCGTTGGAGGTAATGGTGCCGGCCTTGCCCTCCAAGGCTCCGCTTGGAGGAGCGCCCGTTGGATCTGTTGAGACGGAGAGCATGGCCAGTGAGTGGTAAAAGAACCGCCCAGGCCGCGGGACCCAGGCCAACCCAGGAAATACCAAACCCCAACCGGGCCCTCAGGGAGCCAGTTGGAGGTCTACGAGGGTCCAGAGGCCAGGGCTCTGGGCAGGGTCTCTCCCTCCGCAGACTCCCACTGCTCACCTGTGCAAGGTGCATGACCGAAGCACAGCCTAAGTAAGCACGGTACTAGGACCAGGCAAGGGCTCAGAGGTACGGTAACAAGAACATGTGCCAGGGCCTGTCTGCCATTGGATCAACACCACACAAAGAGGGTGCGGAGTACTGTGCACGGCTGAGGGGTGTAAAACAGTGTAACACTGGGGAACAGAGCGGCTCTTCACTTAAAAAGAGCCGGGCTGACGGCACACGCCTGTCATCCCAGCACTCTGGAAGGCTGAGGCAAGAGGATCGCCAAGTTCAAGCCCAGCCCGGACAGCTTATCAAGACTCTGCCTCAACATTAAAAAGTAAAAATAAGGACTGGGGATATAATTCAGTGTGAAGGCTTAGATTCAGTCCCAAAGGGGGTAAAAAGAAGAGAACAAACAACTACCAGGGAGTGGTAGAAGCACTTGCCTAGCATGTCAAAGGCCCTGGGTTTGATCCCTGGCACTGGTAAATAAATGAGCGCTACCATGTGATCCAGCAGTCCGACTTCTCTGTATATATCCAAAAGAATTGAAATGAGGTCTCAAAACTACTTGTACACCCCTGTTCATGGTAGCACTATTCACAATAACCAAAGGTAGAGGCAGCCCAAGGACTCATGCCCGGATGAACGGATGCAGTACATGGACACGGCAGAACGCCACTCAGGAAGGAAATCCTGTTATACACGCACTGGGACCAGCCCTGAGGAGACAAGGTTAGGTGAGGGCGGCCATTTGCAGGAGTCAAACACTGCGCAGCTGTTGGCTCCCGGCAGCCAGTGCAGGGGAGGAAGCAATGGAAACCTGTTATTGAACGGATGGAGTTTTAGGTTTCAAAGATAAAAAAGTTCCAGGGGCCGAGCTATACAAGAATACGAATATATTTAAAAAAAAAAAAAAAAGAATATGAATATATTTAATACTACTGAACCTACCATACTGACACAAGGGGAGGGTTAAGACAGTGGGCCTGGGGCACAGCTCAGACAGTAGAGAACCACCAAGCAAGCTTGAGGGCCCGGGTTCGATCCCTACCACCGGAAAAGGAGAATTCCGCAGAGGGGAATGTGAGGAGCGGCTGGAAAGTAACCATGTGTGCGGGACGAAGCCAGCCTGAGAACACGGGAGCTCCTCGGAGCACGTAAACAAGCCGCTGCAGCTTACTAACTGATTGCTGGGCAAAGAGGCTGAAATGAAACAACCTCTCGAGGGTATAAATAAACGCTCCACTGTTCTGGGGCAGTCCCGCTTCTCCACTCAGGAGAGAGAGGGCCTCCGCCTGACCCCCAGCCTTTTGTCTCTTGTCTATTTTTTCCTCATTCTTGCTGCCGTTCCTTCCTGGAGTACAGCAAGAACCCAATGGGGTTCTTACAGGGGAATACAGAAAACAAAGTAATACATACATATCTGTAGGGACGCTGCAGAATACCAAAAGTAAAGACAAGACTTTAAAAACTTCCAGCATGTAAAAGGACAGATTATCCACAGAGGAAGCCTCTCCCTCAGTTGGGGCTGGGACAGAGCCCGAAAAGGAGCAGGTGCTCAGTCCATCGCTGAGGCCCACCCCTACCCCAGGAGCTCAGACAGCACCTCCGGCTGTGGAGACACAACAGCCATTAACCTAGAACTGAAAACCTTGTAAACGCGCAACTCAAGAATGAAGATTAAGCCAGGCATGGCGGCGCACACCTATAATCCCAGCACTCGGGAGGCTGAGGCAGGAGGATTGCTGTGAGTTCGAGACCAGCCTGGGCTACAAAGTGAGCTCAAGGCCAGCCTGAACTGCATAAGGAGACCCTGCCTCAAAAAGACAAAAAAGAATGAAGATTAAATTCATGCATTTTTAGACAAAGATGGAGGAATTTATCACTAACACTGAAGAACGAAAACACAATAAAAGAAGTATTTGAGAAGATAAAACTGGGTTACTATGGCTTTCCTCACGGTAGCCCGCCCTGTGTCTTCCAGGGTGTACTTTTATCTTGCTTTTTCCTCTTTTACTCGCCCAAGCTCACTCTGCAGAGCCAGTTTCTCTCTCACTCTTCACTTTTACTTTTTCAAATAAACTCGGCCACCGCTTTAAAAAAAAAAAAGACAACAGTAAACTCGAATTATAAAAAGTGGACTCGATAAGGATGGAAGACGTTACACAAGCAGACCGTAAGCAAAGCCACTTCGGTGCTAAGTGAGTCTAGATACGCTGGCTGGGAGAGAGGGGCGGGCGGAAGGGGTGACGGGCAGAAGGGGCGACGGGCAGAGCACCTGCCCGGCGCAGCACCACTTCCCACCTGAGCACCAAAGTCAGTCAGATGAAAGACAACAGCTGGCTTGATCTACCCACCTAACACACACACACGTGCACACAGATGCACACACACGTGCACACACAGATGCACGTGCACACACACAAAGAAACACTTCTGAACCTTAAGTCAGAAAGTGCATTTGATAAAATCCAAGACCTACTCACAACAGAAACTCTCAGCGACCTGCTAGAATCAATCGGGAGTTGCCTTAATCTGAACAAAGAATACCTTCCCCAGACCCACACAATAAATGCTGCACTTGACGATGAAACATTAGAAGCATCACCTTTAAGTGAAGAACAGAATAAAGAATGCTCATCCTGTAGCCAGGTGTGGTGGCACACACCTGCAAGCACAGCACTTGGGAGGCTGAGGCAGGAGGATCATCACAATTTCAAGGCCAGTCTCAGCTACACAGTAAGTTCAAGGCCAGTTTGAACTACATAAGCCTGTGTTGAAAAAAAAAAAAATCTCATTCTGTGCTGAGGATGTGACCCAGTGGGTTAGCACTTGCCTGCTGTGAACAAGGCCCTAAGAAGAGCTCATTTTCACAGGGCATGTGGGGCATACTCATATACTCCGTTCACACGGAGAGGCTGAGGCAGGACAGTGAGAGAGAGAGAGAAAGAGAGGGAGGGAGGGAGGGAGAAGGAGGAAGATAGAAAATAAATGCTGGAGATATAGCTCTGTGTAGGATTCTAGATTCAATCTCCAGTTTTTTTTAAAAAATCATCTGTTCTTGAGAGAAGTGCTAGGCAAAAATACCAGGGCAAGGCAAAATACACCAAGGCCTAAAAAGAAGCAGCAAAAGTCTCAGTAGAAAAAGATTCTACAGGGGCTGGGGATTTAGCTCAGCGGCAAAGAGCCTGCCTGGGAAGCGCAAGGTCGTGAGTTCAGTTCCCGGTACCGGAGAAAAAAAAAAAAAAAAAAAAAAAAAAAGAAAAAGAAAAAGATTCTACAAATGGTAAAGATTTCTAAGAGAGCTAAGCTATATCAGTGTCTCAAGATCAATTACATTCTTTTATACCAGATATAAGGTATCAGAAAATATAATTTTAAAAAAATTATGCCCTTTAAAAAAGAAAGACATAATATATCTGGTAATAAATCCAACAAAATATGAGACCTTTTAACAGAGAAAACTGAGTTATAATTGTTTAGAGAGACATAAGCCAGGCACGGTGACCCACACCTGTATCCCAGCTACTTGAAGGCTGAAGCAGGAGGGTCACATATTTGAGGCCAGCCTGGGCAACTCAGCAAGATCCTGCCACACAGAAAGGCCTGGAGCTGCAGTTAAGGGCCGTCTGGGTTCAATCCTCAGTAACACACACACGAATAAATAAATAAAGTCAAACACCTAAATAAATGGAGAGGAGAAAGTGTTTATGGATGGAAAATACCATAAAGACACTAAATCTCTCAAAAGAAATCACAAATACAATGAAATTATGATATAAACCCCACAAGGTTTTCCACAAAACTTCAAAAGCTCATTTTCAAAATAATAGGACAAGCCAGGAGGGGTCAAGTTGCCAACACTGATTCCCTCTCCACTCCCTCCCCTTGGCTCTGGACTTTGCAACACTCCCTCCTCAAATGCTCCCTCAGACTCCCTCCTTGGGGGGTCTCCAGCCACACTTTCATTCCTACCGTTTAAGTGCTGGTTTCGAGACAGGGTCTCTCTGGGCTGCCCAGGTTGGCCCCAAGCAATTCTCCTGCTTCAGCTCAAGCAATTCTCCTGCTTCAGCTTCCCAAGTAGCTGGGACCACAGGTGTGCAGCACAGGGCCGGCACCACACCATGTGGTGTTTTGTTTTGTTTTGTTTGTCTTTTTGAGACAAGGTTTCCCTATGCAATTCAGGCTGGCCTTGAGCTCACTTTGTAGCCCAGGCTGGTCTTGAACTCGCAAGGATCCTCCTGTCTCAGCCTCCCGAGTGCTGGGGTTATAGGCGAGTGCTGGGGTTGTAGGAGTACGCCACCGCGCCCAGCTACACCACGTGTTTTTGATGATCACATCTGCATCTTTCCTTTCCAGCCACTCCCCACCAGGCATCTCAAGCAGGCATCCCCAGCACTCCTCGGGCTCAATACGCTCAAACCAGATTTCCAACTTCGCCCTGAATTCTTTTCTTCTGCTCTTTCTGGAAATGAATCATCGCCCACAGAGGCGAGAAGCGTAGGCGTGTAGTTGGCCTTGTCCGTCTCTCCTCCCCTCCTTTAATGGCCACCTCCTGTCTGTCTGTCTCCTGAACCTGCTTCTCTTCTATCTCATGGCCTCACCCAAGCTCCGCCGGGGCCAACTCCATCAGCAGCCTGCCCTGCATGAGAATCCCGCGAGCCCCACGGTGGGGAAGACTCCGCATGAGCCTACTCCTGTGCGCCTGCCAGATCCCCCCTCTCCAAGCCCCGACTCGGTCATCCGAAGCACCCCTCAGACAGCTCCTCACGCCTGACGGAGGTGCTGCTTGGCCTTTCTTCCCCACCCCTCGCTCTCCTGACCGAC